GGGTGGATATAGCTCGCTAGCAGCCTCGCACCGAGGACCTATCCACGTCATCATTTACCCAGAATGCTTTGTGTGTAAATAAAATGGCTCCGTCTGTGTTAAAATTTAAAAAAAATTACAAAACTAAACATCCTACAGTATTTTTACAGTCGTTATTTCACAGTTAAAATATATATTTATCAAATAAAGTCTAATGTTACAACTAATCGGGGATCCCTTTAACTCAGAACCACGAGACCAACGAGACAAAAACCGCAGAAACTTTTCCTCCTGATCTGAAAGGACTTCAGCTGCGAGGAGCTGCTTCGGCTGCGAGGCGCCGCGCTTCTTCAGAGAAACATCAGCTTTTAAAAAAAACCTGACAAAAAGCCAAAACAATATATAAAAAAATACAACTGGCTTAATTTCCAGAGCTGCATTAAAGAAAATCAGCTGAAAATCCACGTGTAACGGAATCTAACGCCTGATCATCGACCGCTTTGTTAGCTTCACCTGTTCAAAGAGCTCAGAACACTTTTTAGGAAACGACGGACCGCACCCGCCTCAGAGCATCGCCATTTTCTGCCATCATATTTTATTTTGAAAGGACTCTAAAGTGGAAGTTACCTCCCGTGGACCAGTCGGACCCTCGTCTCTAATACCAGGGTTTCAGCTGGACTCAGTTCAACCCAGCACCTCTGGGATCCGGTGCCAGAGGAGTTTGGGATGATGGATCTGCAGCTGTGATGCCGTCTTGTTCTGGACCAAAATCTGAATTTATTTGTTGAATTAAAGCAGCTTTAAGGCAAATCTGGGTCCAACACCAAACGCTTACCGTGGGTCTCAAAGTGGCCGACGCAAACTGAACACACCCCTAAAATCTTCCAGTGGATCTCAGCTTCACAGTGACCGACAGGAAGCACCGACAAAATAAAAGCATGGACTTCCTGTAAGGATCCGATCCTGGCAAACATCCAAGTCCAAAAAAAAAAGTGATAAAATATCTAAAAACTGCGACATAACTTAAGTTTAAAAGACGACATGATCAGACCTACAGACAGCAGCAACTAAAAATACTTCAGATAAAAACATGTCAGTAACCGAATAATAAAAAGTTAAAAACAGAAAAGACAAACAGCTTCACAGTGAGTGTGTGTGTGTGCGTGTGTGTGAGACATAACAGAGGTCACTGTGGCTGCTTTCTGATTGGCCACTGGTAGAAGGTCAAAGGTCAAGGGGAATTTAGGACTCCTGAGGCACAACTTCCATCATCTTCTGACACAAGACTGTGGTCGAGACTGAAACACACAAACACACACAAACACACACAAATTTAGTGTTAAATCCATCTAAAAACTATCAATAATTTATAAAAACTCATTAGAACCAAAAACTGTAATAATTTCATCACATTTCTGTCTTTATCTTTCTGAGAAACTCAAATTATTTTAATTAAAAATCATTTTTATAGCAACAATATGGAAGACCATTACGGCCCAAATTATTATGTAAGAATTAAAATGTATTGATTTTAAAAAGTATATTATTTTTCTCAAATACTGAATCCCTTCAGAATAAAGGGCTCGACACACGGGGAGCGTTAACGGCTGTCATCACAGCCAGGGTGAAACCCGACACACGGGCCGCGAGAGCGACGGCAGCGTTGCGCTCTCGCGCTTGTCTTCACGAAATTTGATTGGTTCTTCTACTGCCTCTTCTAAAGCTTATTGGTGGTTCGTAAAAAAGGGTGTGTGCATTACGGACGTGTAAACTAAACAAATCTTGTGATGCTAATGATATTGAAAAACAAACGCACGCCAAAATACGATTTTATGAGGAAAAACTTACCGGATAGCTTCACCCTGGAGCCAACAAATTCCCATAACTGCAGTGTGTAGCATACTCTCTGCTCATTGGTCGGTCAATGAAACCCGCGCTGATTGGTTGTACGCTTAGCAACAGCAACAAAAGTTGAACATTTTTCAACTTTCATGTGTCAAGCTCGCGTGTGCACGTCTACATGTGCGAGCGCAAAATTTTACACGCACGATTTTCACCGGGTGGCTTTGCTGGAGGAGGGCGAGCGACGTCGCCTCCCGTGTCGAGCCCTTAAGACTAGAAAGAACCGACCTAAAGAGTGAAAATGTGTATTTCTGACGAACTACAACCTTTTTCATGACAAAGAGACGAGGGCAGCACTCACAGATTCCACTCATCAGCCACTTGGGTTTGTTCTGCCACCAGACGCCGATCAGGTAGACGGGCAGCCCGGTGCCGATGACGCCGAAGCCGATGGCGCATTCTTTTGGCGTTTTCCAGAACGACACGACGATGAGGAAGAGGCAGGCCAGGACGAAGCTCACAGGCAGCAGGATGTTCACCTGCGGACACAAATCCAGCTTTCAGCTCCTGTCCTTTAATCTGTGATCTGTCTCTGTGCAGCTGAGACACGTCTCTGATAGGACACAGAGGCTGTCCGCACCGCCAAAGTAAACTAAAGTCTACTTCCTGTTAGAAACAATGGGCCTCATGAAAGAACGTTTGTATACTTATCCTGAATTTCTCTTACCTTTGTTCGTACGAACATGTCATCAAACTCTTCTATCTTCAGGAAATGTGTGTAAATGAGCTGCGTAAACTGATAGGGGTGTAAGAAAATATTGATACACTGAAATATCGCGATATTTCATTTCCCGATACTGTATCAATATTCTAAAGCCCTGTATCGTTTTTTTATTAAGGTTTAAAATGTCAACTTTCCTGCCAGCTGTTCATTTTTATGTTGTAGTTCAGCCTCTGACCACTAGTTGGCAGCAGTGAGCCAGACATTTGGCTCCTCTACCTCTTGAGGTAGAGGCTATTGTTAAGTGTTGGGTGACCATATTGTAAATTAATATTAAAAACTAAAACTTGAAAATATATATTTTCAAACTATTTACTGTCAAATTTAGTCTAATAATTGAAAACATGGATGAAATATGAAACAAATAAAATAAAATACATACAAAGCAGAACACAGTTAAATGTATCAAAAGTATGTCTATGTAATATTAGAATTTTCTGAGACAATGAATTTTGGTTTTTCATTTTATTCCCCAGTAAGAGGTTTTTATTTAATAGGATTTTTGGACAAAAAAAATCGCAATATATCACCTTGTTTATAGTATCGCAATATATCAGGATATATCGTATCGTGACCCCTCTGTCATGATATGTATCGTATCGCCAAATTCTTGCCAATACACAGCCCTATAAACTGATGAATGCGTATCAGGTGCTCGTGCAATATTAATTTATGTTGCACTGTATAGTCAAATAAATTAATTACGCTCTTATTTGTTGATGTTTTTATGCAATAACTGCCACATTATTACATGATTACTAATTTATCAAGCCATTGATTTCTTTCATCAAGCCGTTTAATTATTTCTGCATGTATTTCCAGTTATGGCAGATGCAGTCCTCCATAGCTAACAGCAGACTGACTACTCGTAAAATACATGACAGGTCTGGACAACATGTGAATTTTGTTCATATCGGAAGAAAATCTTACAACACGAGAAAATTGGTGAATGATAAGTTCTCCTAAATCACTCGTACGCACAACTTAAGAATAAAACTGTTCGTACGAACGGTTCTTGCATGAGGCCCATTATAGGGTGACATGGTGGGATAAAACCACCATCCTGACGGTCTCACAGTCGGTTGTTTATATCAGGAACTAAAATCTTTAGACTTAGTAAAACCCAGAGAGCAGGGGAAACTGCCCGGGTCGACTCACTTTAATGGGCCGCTCCATCTCAGGCTTCTTGTAGCGGAGCCACATCATCCCGATGATGGCCAGGGCGATGCAGAGCCAGTTGAAGAAGCTGAAGAAGTTTATGATGGAGTAGATGTCGTTGGAGAAGGCGTAGAAGAGCGTCATCAGGCACTGGAGCGAGCAGAAACAAAATGATCCAACCACAAGAAGGGTTATTATAGTTAACTAAAACTAACTAAATAACAAAAACTGAAACTGAAAAAACATTTTAGCGACTAAAATATATAAAAACTGTAATAAAAAGAAAAAAAATGATAACTAACTAAAACTGTTTAATATTTTTACAAAACTAAATTATAGACAGAATATCCTTAGTTTTAATGTTTCAGTTTATTTTAATGGAGTAGTTTCCATCAGCTGTGGTCTGTAACAACACTTGTTTACAGTCTGCTGCTGCTCAGCATCACCTGCTAAATGACAACAACAGRTGGGAGAAAACAACAACAACAACGTCCACTTTGGGATTTCTTTGAATCTGACTGAAAAATCAAACCAAGTGTCTTGTAGTGGAAACAGGTGATAAAACAGGTGGAAAACTTCTGAAGAGAAAAACTGCATGAATCAAACTCACACAAGATGCTAACTGTGACTATCTGACACGCTAGCTTCTCTCAGTAGCTCCATGAAAAACAAACAACAGGTAGCAGCAGGTTGGAGACTAGGGCTGTGTATTGGCAAGAATTTGGCGATACGATACATATCATAACGGAGGGGTCACGATACGATATATGCCGATATATTAC